GGGGTTCTGCGCAGGAAAGGTGCCGCGGTCCCGCGGTCCGTGGGGTTGGCAGTCTGTGACGCAGTTGTCTAATTTCTGGCCGTCAGGTGTGGAGGCTGATGCCTCGGGACTCGCTTCCCAGGAGGGACGGTCACGCCGGAGACCCAGTGCAGCGCCTCGGGGTGCGACCTCACCCTGGCGCGCGGGGCGGGCACTTTAGGGTTTCCTTTAGGGTCTGCTTCCAGTCGCCGGGTGTGAAGGGGAAAGGCGGGCGGGCGGAATTCTGGGACTTGTAGTCCGGGCCGCGGTTGGGCTGGGTGCACGTGGGTAACTGTGGAAACGAGTCCCAGAATGCTGCGCGCCCCTCGGAGCCTCCCTGCTCTGCGAACGGGAGCTTTATTCTCCAGTTACCCGGTGCGCTCGCGTTGGCCCTCCGGCTCCCTGGAATTGTGATCAGCTGGCGAGGGAGAGCCCGAGACAAGTCCATCCCTTTCAAGTTTGGGCTCTCGGTCTCTGACTTCATTCCATTTTCTCCTGCACTTGATGGCCTTGCAGAATAAATGCGTAGTCCTGAGCCCTCCAGCGATCAGTTTGTGGGAAAACACTCAGGAGGCAGCGCTGTCCAAAGCAGCGGTTAGGGTGGTGGCGTCCCCGGGAGGGTCAGCCCGAGCTCGACAGGTACAGCCGTGTATAGGTACGGAATGCGGTGGGACAGTGGTATCCCTTACGAAGGTTGTGTAAACTGTTGCAGTCCTTGGATTGTTTGGTTGCCTGAGGATGTGACTATTTTGAAGTGAATTGAATATCGGACTTGGTTTTATCTAATTTGGGGTTGGAAATGGTCTCATTCATAAAGTTACCATGAAAATGTGAAAGTAAGCAAAAGGAATAGCTCATGTCTTTAGTTTTCAAGTTAGTGTAGGAAGCAAATGAAACTACTGTTTGCATTTTAGCTGTGGGCTCTAACTCCTTCCCTTTTAATGTTAGAGATCTTCCTTTCAGCGGGTGGATTTCCAGCCAGCCATCCTTGGCCCGTTCTTTTTAGTGTGATAACTCAAATATAGAGGACTATAAGATTAGCTTGATGTGATATATCAGACACTATGAAAATATTGGTAACAGTCCCTGGAAGGATATTTTAATAACTCTAATTACAGATATCTTGCCAAGAAGTTCTAAGGTTTGGGAACCTTTTGGTATGGTTACAAATGTACTGCATTTACTTATTTGCTTGCTTTTGTCTTATTTTTGCGGATTTGTTTTTATTGACTGGGATCTAGGGCATATGGGAATGGGAAATGTCACCTTGGGGCACACCCCACTCCCACTCCCCAGCGAATGACCATTCTAATGTTTCTGGGATGTTCTTTTTATTTTTGAGACAGGGTTTCCTGTGCAGATCAAAATGGCCTTGAACTCCCTTTGTAGCATAGCTCAGGCTGGCCTTGAATTCGCAACAATCTTTCTGCCTCAGCCTCCTGAGTGCTGGGATTTACAGGTGTGTGCCGCCACACCCGGCCATAAATGTACCGAATTTAATGCTTAAGTAGGTGATGGTGGTTTTTTTTTTTGAGACAGAGTTTTGCTATATAGTTCAGGCAGGCCTTGAACTCACAATGCAGCCTAGTCTGGCCTGGAACTCAGAGCGGTCTTCTTGCCTCAGCCTCTCAAGTGCTGGGATTACAGGGATGCGCTACCATGCCCAGCCCGATGGTTCTTTTTATATGTCTGAAAAATTAATCAATTTCTGATGTATTGGGGAAATAATTTATATCTATCTGACTTATTTGACCTAAACCTGTGGTAAAAAATGTTCAAGAAATCCTTAGTAAATATAAATTGTAATACGGATATTTTCCAAAAGAAGTGTTTTTAATCCTGGAGTTCCCTGTTACATTTAAAGAAGTGTTTTTAATCCTGGAGTTCCCTGTTATCTGACTTATTTGACCTAAACCTGTGGTGAAAAATGTTCAAGAAATCCTTAGTAAATATAAATTGTAATATGGACATTTTCCAAAAGAAGTGTTTTTAATCCTGGAGTTCCCTGTTACAAAGGGTAAAAATGATAAGGTTGAAAAATATATAAGAGCTGTAGCTGTCTTCAAGATTGAAAGGAAACATCCCAGCGGTGGAAACCTACGGCACATGTACCGCAGCGGGCTGTTTGTATCGTTGAGAGCTCTAAAAGTTTCGCCATCCCTGCTGGGCTAGTCATTTCTTTATATAGCAAAGCGCAAGTGCCCTTTACACGTAGACACAGTGCCCTCCCCCTCTATTTCTCAAAGCCCTAGGCTCCTATACCATATCATTTTATACTTTCTGCTCTGGGTTTTAGGGTCCTCTGATTTTTTTGGCCCTTGGAATGGTACTTTATTTTCTTAGGAACTTAGTTATGCATTTACACTATAGAGTTTTTTGTATATTTCACCTAGCACTTTTGACTGGTGGGAAGGGTTTTTAGGCAATTATATCTGTAAGAATGCTGGAGAAAAACGTCTCCCTCATCCTCATCTTAGTAGACTTCTATACATGTTCTGTTTGGATTCTGTTTCTGGTTCTAAGAAGTGCCTGTTGATGACAGTGTTTTACAAGTTTTATCAATATTTCCTTTTCTGTTTTTGTTAGCCACTTACAGCAGATCTTACTCATTTTCTTCTTCCTCTTTATGATACCTGCATTACAGTATTCTCATCTTATCATCATCATCTTGCTACTTATAATTGATAGTGGCTAGGAATCCTGCTAACACTCTGAAAATTACTGAGAAATTGACCTCATGATGATGAATGTTCTGTCATGATTCCTTTGGCAAGTAATAATACTGAACTAAAAACAGGCTTGAAGAATGGGGCTTCTTACTGATTTGTAGCGGGAAGTTTGGAGGTTGGTGGTTCTAAGGCTGATGTGGCATGGTGGCTTAATCCTTATGGAAGTAGGCCCTCTGCATCCTTTTCTTCCTCTAAGTATTGTGGCTTTTGATCCTCAAGGCTTATGCCCCATATTTGCAGTGTGGTTGCTGCAGCACCAAACATCGGGCCTGTGTGAGAAAGCGAAGGAGCATATTTCCTTATAAGCACCTGCTAACAGAGAGGACTTCTTCCAGAAGCTTCCCTTGGAGACTTTTGTTTCAGTATCATTGGGTAGAGCGGATCTCGTCCACTGTTAGTTACGAGGGAGACTGGGAAAGTGAGAGTCGGGCATTTTTTCAGTTTCTGCTGTAGGACGTGGCCTTTCTAGGGTGGAAGGAGGGGTAAGGAAAATGCTCTGGATTGGCAGTCTGTAGGTTGAACCAACTGCTTTGGCAGACTTTCTGGCTGGTCTCAGTCTTTTTCATTTGTTGACGTATTTTCTGCTTTACTCTGAAAGAATTAGGGGTGACTTACTAATAAATGTGGATAAGATCCTGTCAAGAGAAGGAAAGTAAAGGACATGGACTTAACGAGGCACCAAAATGCTTGCTGTATGTCAGAAGTAGGCTCTGGGCTTTCTAGTAGTCAGAAGGAAAAGGAAACTAAAAACCAGCTAATTTTGCTCATTTGGTTAATGAAGCAGTAATTTTAATAAACTACCCTGCAGCCTTAGTTATTTCACTTCTCTGTCCTGCCACACCTGTCCGCCTTCCTGCATCTATGCCATCACCTGTGCCTGACCCGGCCTTGGGTTGTGATACTGTCACCAAGAATCCTTTTGCCAGGCTGAGGCTCCACTCAATGAGTGGCATCGTCTTTGTGTTTAAGGCTCTGCCTGCCTACCCACGAGCCTTGAGGCTGAAGGCTCCCAGTCGTTCATGTAAACAGGGAGTCCTCAGAACAAGAGCCTAGGGGAAGGTGAGAGCTTCCTAGTTATGGCCCGCTTCTCCTTTGGGGATGCCCACTGTCTCCGACGGCCCTGAGGGCCTGCCCTGGACAGTCTTCACTGTGTCCTCTCCAGAGGCCCCTTCTCTCGCGTGCTGACTTTCATTGCTCAGTTTCAGGTTACATTCTGCTGCTTGTTTACTTCTCTCCCCAGTTAGGTAATTACCCCCCTGAGATATGGGACTGTGGTACTTCCTGTCCACTTTAGTGTCTTGCATGATGCCTTGCTTAGGCGCTCAAATATTGTACGTATCGAATGAACTTGAGTGGTCAACTACTGAATCGTAAATGAGTTATTTAGGAGCCTTAGTTCTTCCTGCTGTCCTCTAGCATGCTTCTTAGTCCTTTTTCATTATTGTTTAAAACACTTTTAAGGGACACAAACTTGCACTTTTTTATTCTTTGCCATACATTTTTTTGTAAAGTTACCCATATACAAACTACGCATTTAATATAAGTCTTGAAAATAGTTTGGAGAGATTAAAATGCTGGTAGTTTGCAAAGAACAGAAGAATTCTGCAAATGTGCCTGTGTCCGTTTCTGATCTTGTGGCACATGGACAGGTCAAATAGTCTGCTGATCAGAGGCCTAGAGTATTTCTGCCTTTTTCTTATGAGTATATCCTGGTCCTAAGAATTTATTTCTAAAATTAACAATATAGTTTAAGGGCCAGGGATATAGCTCAGGGGCACAAACACCTGCCTGGCAAGCGCAAGGTCCTGAGTTCGACTCCTGGTACCAAAAAAAAAAAAAAACTGAAAAACAATATAGTTTAAGAGTAGTAATGAGACTGCTGAAAGGCTTTCTTCATTTAGAAAGTAAAATGTGTAAGTTAGAGGTAAAATTAATGATAGTGAATCTAACATTAATGCTGGTAGTGCCATAGTTGGTCAACCTGAATTGATGTTAATAGCTTTTCATAGCTTGTTCTTATTTTGAAATTCAGGTTAGGAGAAGTGCCTCTTGAGAATTATTCTTTTGAGCAGAACATGCATTTTAAGAATGTGTTTTAAGAAGATTGAAAGACATGTTAAATAGAATTACATGTTTTAATCTTTGCATGACAGTTTCAGATCTAAGGATCTTTTTCTATAGTGTCCAGGATTCTAGCAGCATATCTGCTACTTCGGGTTTGAATTGCTTTTCTTTTAATTAGGAAAGATTGTTGCTGAGTTACTTCTAACTTAGAACCGTAGGCTTGTGGCTTTTGAAACCAATTAATATACTGAATAAAACACCAAATGATGTGAACAGGATCCCTGCCCATACCACGTAGCATTACATCTTTGGGGATTTTTTTCTTAACGATTTTGAAAACCTTTTGTTACTTGCTGGCCTGTATCAGTGGGACTTGCAGAGCAGGGAGTAGCCCGTTTGTGTCTGTAGTGGGCATCGCCAGTCTTCTGGGACACTGGCTCTTTGGGGAATTCCTACCATGGCAGGCAGAGCTCCCTAGGTCCCCTTCCTGTCCCCCAGTGTGAACGAGAAGGCAGAGGTAGGTGATGGGAAGAAGGCTGGAGCCCTTGGAGGCCCATGGGGAGGGTATTTGGTGGTGGTGACTGGTTTTAGACCTGGCCTTGTCTGTGGGGTGCCCTGCCCAGTGCCCTGAGGCACTTTTTTGGTTGTATAGCAAGCTGCTAGTGTTGGTACTCTGGATTTCGTGAAAGATTCTGTGAATTCTCCAATAGTGTCCTTAAATGCATGGGTGCACACAGATACACATGCAAACAGCTCTTCTCCCTTTGAATTTAAGAGTTGGTGTCTGATTCGTGGCAACTAAGAATTCAGTCACTTCAACATCCAGATTTGTGAGTGGTGAAATGCATAGTAGAGGCCCTGGTAGAGAAGAGCAGTGATTTTTCCTTTTTACCCTGGCTGCTTGTGGACTTCTGTTCAGAGAGGACGCGGGCATTGAAGGAAGACACAGTGATGTCGCTTTAGTTCTCGGAAGCAGCCTTTGCCTGTATTCCGGCAGGGCTCTGCACCACACGTAACGGCTCGCCCAGGGGAGCTCACTGAGTGCAGCTCACTGAGTGCAGCTCCTGACTGCAGCTCCTGACTGCTGCCTTTTCCTGGTTACCTCTTTCATCCCTAAGTGTCCGGCTTGGGAAGTATACAGTAACGCTCAGGAACTAATGCATAACTTCTTGTGCATAGTTTTGGATCTGTCTTGGAAATAGCAGCTGTGGAAATTTTTTTTTGTGTGTGTGGAATACTTTTAGTGAGAAGTCGTATCTGATACTAGCAATGGCTTTCTAGTCAACCTTATTAACATTATGTACTATAAAATTACGCTCATTTGAAGTGTAAGTATATGTACTGGTGTGAGCACAATTAAGATACAGAATATTTTCATTATTCCCAAAAGGTCCTTTGTGCCCCTTTGTAGTTCATACTTCTCCCCCATCACCAAATTCTTGGCTTTTAATGTATATCATCTTAGGCTTCCTCCATGTTAGTTGATGGTTTGTTGTCTTGTTGTTTGTGGGGATACTATAGTATAAAAAGGTGTGATTAATCTCTCGTGTTCTTTTCCATACTGAACTGTTAAATCTGAAGAAAAACTATCAGTGCTGTATAAATTTTAAATCTGGTAAGTAGTACTTTCCCACATGAAGTTGTTGTGAGTTGGATGCTTTGTTCTGGTGGATGGTTTTGCAGTGTAGCTTTTCTTGCTTTCCAGTGGCCTGAAGACATGCAATGCTGACGTTTGCTCCAGGGATACGATACTGTCTTTTAATTGCTACGTGGGTCACATTGGCGGGCAGGAAAGCATAGTTATTGAATGTTGGCCCTAGAGTCAAAATGTCTGGATTCACATCCTTGCTCTGCTGTCTATTAAACGTGTGACCACAGGTGTGGTCAGAGTCCTCATGTACAAACCTGCTTACTACCTACTGTGGGGTTTGAAGCTTTTCAAGCCACCAAGAGTTAATATTGAGAACCAGCTATGTACCAGGCATATATCCTACATCATGAAGTTTTCATTTTGTTCATGGGAGACAAATAATAAGTAAATCACCTAACAGTGTCAGGTGGTGGTAAGTTCTGTGAAGAAAAATAAAGCAGAGCAGGGATGAGCACAGCATCTCTGTGTGTCTGCGGGAGTCGGGGTGGTGTTAGAACTTTAAATAGTATGGTCCAGGAAGGCCTTACTCACAAGGTGTATGACCCGTTGGAGGAAGCGCCACCGCAGAGGCTGATGGGGTCAGGCCCGGGTGTGAGGCATCCAGGAGATACGTGTGGGGAGTATTGGGGATGAATGGAGGGGGAAAAGAAGGTGGTGAGATCACAAGTGGGACGTCCTGAGGAGTAAATAAGCGAGACAGAAAATGCTTTTGTTGCTAATGATTACCATGTGTGTTAGTTACTTTTCTCACTGCTGGGACAAAATACCCAGCACCCACGGTGAAGGGAGGCTCACAGTTTGTAGAGGTTTCAGTCTGTAATCTGCTGGCTCCAAGGCAGGGTGGCCGCACAGAAGAGAGCTGCCAGAAAGTAGCAAAGGCAACAAGGGAGGCAGAACATGCCTGTTTCTGTCCCTTATATTGTGTGCAGGCTACCGAGATTAGGGTGGTGCCGATTTAGTAATCACCCACCCTTAGTCCTAGCACTGCACCATTAATCACTCCCAGCGTCACACATTCTAAATTCAGCCACCTCTGAAAAAGCCTCACCTGTGACTGCATGAGGCTGTGGGGGGCATCTGGACACAGCCATAACACCATCTAGTGGAGTTTCCTCCCTAGGTCTTACAAGGAACCTTTGCCAGAAAAGAGCTTGTAGAAAGAAGAGAATCGCCTGAGGCCTTCCTTCATTTGGCCATTCGCAGACATTTGAGGAGTTCTGTTGTTGCTAGATCTCGCTGTAACAAGAGGGAGCTGGGTCCCCGTGTCTAAGGAGTCTTCCTTCTGGGGTCTTCTGGGGTGGGGCAGAGACGTAATGGCAGCTGCTGTGTGGTGTTCACGGTGGTGCTGGGTTTCGTGGAAGCCCGGTGTGCTCTAGGAACCCATGGGAAGGCTCTAAGACTGGACTTCATGGAAGGGTGGGCAGTTGGTCACGTGACAACTTGTGGCGTTTTGTTGTGTGAAGAAAAGGAAGTGAGTATGAGTGGGCACGGGGGTGTGAGGCGGGAGAGTGGGCTGCAGGCCGAGGGAGCAGCGTGGGGCAAATGCAGAGAGCCGGCAGCAGGATGAGGTGTGGCAGGCTGGAGTGGGGGCCAGGTGGAATGGACTGAAGAAAAGCGTAGGAGTGGGAAGAGTGGCCAGCTAGGCACGGGGAGGTCCAGGAGAGGGACTAGCGGGGGTGATTGCTTTGGCTGCTCTAACTCATGTAAACTGCACCCCGCAAGTAGGTTAGGTCCTGTTATCCCCATTTCAAAGATGAGGAAGCTGAGGTGCAGAGAGGCTAACCAGCATGCTCAAAGCCACACAGTTTGTAAGTGGTGAATTGAATTTCTCACTGTCACGTTCTGACTCCAGGGTCTGGATGCCCCTCTGCTGCCAGTGAGGTAATTCTCAACATTTATTTGTGCCTTTCATTTAATTGGGGGGGGGTGACTGGAACTCAGGGACTTCACACTGAGCTACATCCCCAGCCCTTTTTATTTTTATTTTGAGACAGGGTCTCACTAAGTCACTCAGTTGCTTAGGCTGGGCTTGAAGTTGGATCCTTCTGCCTCAGCCTCTCTGAGTGCTGGGACTACAGGTGTGCACCATCACATCCGGTTTCATTTAATCCTTCAAGTAACCCTGTGAACATACTAGAATTCCAGTTTTTTGGTCGTTGACTGTGAAGGACAAAAGTAGAGCTGCTTGATACAGCTGTCTGTTTTACCTTTGTTTCTTCTCTTGGATTCAGTTCCAGCAGGATCAGAATCTAGCATTTCTGAATGCCTTCTTTTGCATTCTATCCCTTTTCACTTGTACTGGTTTGTTCACAGTGACAGTAGGCCTATAAAACTGGCTGTAACTGGCAGCTGAATACTTGTGCAAAGAAAAGTATTTCTGTGCTTTCTTAACTTGCAAATAACATAGTCATTTTTAGTCTTAGATTTTATGTACTGTTTTTACAGTGGGTGTTTTGCTCTTAGCAAGCTCACATTTGAACTCACATTTCTGTAGCCTTATCCTTCTGAGTACCTGGGACTACAGGCGTGCACCACTGCACCGGGAAGATTTTATTTTAAATAGGTGTGTATTGAAATAATCTTTCTTTATCTAAATAATATTTCTTTATCTAAATAATATTTCTTTATTGAAATAATCTTTATCTAAGAATATAAAATTTTTTATATTTTTAGATATGAGACCTCTAACAACATTATAGAAAAGCTAGAAAAATATAAAGCCACTTAATAGAGCTGCTAAGCTTTTGTATAACACTTTTTTTTTTTTTTGTATGGGGAATTGAACTCAGGACGTTGTGCTTGCCAAGCAGGCACTTGTACCACTGGAGCTATCTCCCTGGCCCAACACTTCGGAAATTACTCCTTTTTTCTCTACTTTAGGGTAAGTTTTTTTTCCTCTTTAATATTTCCTACAGGTGCATTCCCAAAATGGACAACAGATTTTTTTTTTTTTTTTTTTGGTACCAGGAATTGAACTCAGGACCTTGTACTTGCCTGGCAGGCGCTGTGCCACTGAGCTATGACCCTGGCCCGAGATTATTTTTTCCTAAGCAGGAAACTGAGGGTAGTTGTACAGTCAAGTCTAGTGGTTACCAAATTAATAGTTTTAAAGATGCATCAATCACCCAGACAAAACAAAAAGATACATCACCTTGTTACTTCTGCCTTTTCTTTAGTTTTGGCTGTTCCCAGTTGTCTGAACTAGTCTCTTCTACATTATAGTTATGTGGATTACAATAATTAATCTGGATCAGGGGGTGAGTAAGTGTTGGACATGCATCATCTCCTTTTCTTTTCTTTTTTTCAATACTGGGATTGAATCAAGGGCCTTGGAACTGAGTTACATCCCTAGTCCTTTTTAAATTTTGAGGTAGTGTCTTGCTAAGCTGCCCAGGCTGGGCTTAAACTTGTGATCCTCCTTTCTCAGCCTCCCGGCGTGCCAGTCTTAAAGAAATGTGCCGCCACACCTGGCTGACATCATCTCATTTCATCCTCTCAGTAGCCTTGGGGAGAGGATGCTGTTATCTCAGTGTCTGAATGGGGACACAGTCACAGCGACGTTGGTTGGGGTGCTAGGCTGGGACACAGCAGATGCCAGCCCAGAGATTTCTGATGCCAGAGCTTGTGTGCTCCTCTCCACGTCGGGGCCCTTTTGAGATTAGCGAGGTTAAAGGGTGATTTTACTCTCAGGGACTCAGTGGACCTGTGTTCTCCAGGGTGGGTGGGGTGAGGGGAAGGACTCCAGAGCCCTTTGTGCCTTGTCACATTGGGACTGTAGCCAGACTGTGTCCTCCAGTAACTGATTCCTTCGAGACGGCACCAGCAGGCACGGTGTGCTGAGTGCTGAGTGTCACACAGCCCTTCTTGGGTGGTGGTTTCTTCTCCCAACCTGCTGTGGGTCCCGAGAGAGTGACGGAGGAGCAGCCAGCAGCAGTATGCTGAATTGCTTCAAGTTTGGGTCTTGTGCTCCATGAAAATGTTGAGTCACCTGCAGTGACCTGCTGCCCTTACGAGCTTTTCCTTTTTTTGTCGCACCTCTTTTTGGCTTTTGTGCCTTGTCAGTAGTAAATACTTACGGATGAGTTTAACGTCTTCCTACCCTGCTGTCATGTGTCCTTTTTTTTGGCAAGCTTTTCAGCCCTGCAGTGTTTTTCTTGGAACTTGACCTTTATTCTACATACTGATGGGGTGCCCTTGAGTGAGTTAGTCTTCCTGGCCTCTGCTGAGGTTTTTCCAGGAGTGGATTGGCTGTTGGCAGGTCAGGAACTGAGCTGAGGGTGTTGCATGTTGGAGTCACTTGGGGTCCTTGAGAATAGATTGAGGCTTCATTTTTACTTACGTGGTCTGGGTCGGGTCCCTGGCATGGGTGTTTCTGTAAGCTCTGGGTAGTTAAGTGGTTCTCATGTGGCCAGTGGATCTCTTGTAAGTAGGTGAGTGACTTGAGTTTGGTTTTGGGCCTGAGGAAGGGGGAGGTGCTCCAGCTCCGGGCCCTGCCCTGTGTGGTGGCCCAGCCCACTGCTGCGTATCGAATGACATGCGCGGCGCACGCCCGCCGGGGCGGTGCCTGTGGCAGGCACTGTTCGCAGCACATGGCAGCAGAGCTGCATTTCATCGTTGTAGTGACCTTGTGAAGCAAGCACTGTTACACATTTTAGGAAAAAAGCAAACAAAAAACCTCACTTGCAATGAAGGCCATGTAGTATGAAACTTACCTAAAACGTAGGGTTTGGTTTTTGCTAGTCTTGCAGTATGGAAAACTCATTCAGGTCTGTGGTATTAATAATGTAACCTCAAATGTGGATGTCTTAAGATCTTTGCTCACTCATGTAGCAAATGATTGTCACTGGTATGCAGAGTTGTAAGTTGGTATTACAGAATACTTAGAATATTCCTTTTTTATAGTTTCAATGAAAGGTAGGCTTCACTGTAAGACAGATTTTGTATTTCAAGTAATTTTGAGTTGGGAACTTGTTTTATTGTAATTTCTTAACTTCAAATTGCATTTTGCACTTTTAAAATCTCATGCACTCTGTATGTCTTTGAGCTATAGGTCTGTACTGACTTGTGATCTAATCTCCCTCTTAGCATTCTGGCTATGGTAACCTTGCAGGATATTCAATGTACTGGTGACCGTCTTTATAGCGTTTAGTATCTTTTGAAATTGCACCATGTATTTGTAAACTGTGTATCATAATGTAAACTCCACCAGGAGAAAGACTTAGGGAAAGGACATGTTCCAGTCCTGCTATCATGAGACCTGAGCTCAGCACACCCTCAGACTCGCATGCATATCTAGTCTCGCCTTCAGAGCCAGGCTTCTGGAACATGTCTGCGCATGACAGTCTGTTTCCTGTCTCCTGCTGTTGCCTCAGCCCACTTTATTCAGTGTGAGTTTTGTCTTTGCTGTCTTCACTGAGAGCATAGGAGTAACTTCCATATTGCTAAATCTAGTGACCACTTTTCAAAGTATAATTCCCTCATTTGTTTGTAACTGCCATATGCCAGACTTGTGCTTTTTGTAAGTATAGGAAAAGAAGCAAATTTGAAACAATAGCAGGCCCTGTTCTCATGGAACTTGGCTCTAGGGAGAGTGACAGAGGAGTAAATGTATATGAATATGTAGAATTGCAGGATCATGAAAGACCTCGTGTAGTAGTGTGATTCCATTGATATGTCCAGAATAGGCACATCGGTAGAGGTGGAAAGTAGATTAATGGCTGTCCAGTGCTGAAGAGGTGAGAAAGGAGTGACTGCTAATGCAGTGGTAAAAGTGTTTTGTAATTAGATTGTGGTAACGGTCTTGTAACTCCTTGAATTTACTAAAAACCAGTGGATTGTACACTGTGAATGGGGGAATTATATGGCATTTGAATTATATCTCAATAAAGCTGTTAAAAACATAGTGTTAAATGCTATGAAAAAGTATAGCTGTAGATAGAGAAGTCAGAGGAGAGCTCTCTTAGAGGTGACATTCGAATAAATATTTCAGTGAAGAAAACTGTTAGGCCTTGTGAATATCAGGTGTTGTTGAGCAAAGGACATAGTAAATTCAAAGGCCCTGAGGTAGGAATTGAGTTGTATATTCAAGGAACATTCTCTGGAATATGGAGTGAGCAGGCATAATGGGATAAGATGACATAGGACTGATCGTATGGAGCCTTGTAAGTTGAAGATCTGAGGTTTTTTTCCTTTTTGTTGTAATAAGAAATCCAAAATCTCAGTGATGGAAGTCAGAGGGTGGTACCTGTCCTCTGTGGTTAGGCAGGGCTCTTTTGCTTTACGTCACTGGCATCCTCTGTCTGAAGCTCTAGGAAGGACGGGCATCTGTTTCTGGACAGAAAGAGGCAAAGCAAACCAAAACAGTGCTGTCAGCTATCTTATACTGATGGCTTTAAGAGCAGATTTTTGTTCCTTTTTTCCATATCCCTTAGTGAAACTGACTTTTCAGAGACTAGGCCCTGTTACCCCATGGCTTGGAGCACCCTTAAACGTCCCAGGCTGATGCGCAGTCAGAGAGGCATAGCCGTGCACTGCTAGACTGCCTCTCGTTGCGTCCTAGAGATATTTAGAATGAGTGCTGGTTTTGGTAAACTATAATTTTGTCTAATTCTGTTTTCCCTTTTTTGGCAATAGCATGGTCATTATTCTACCCTCCCCCATGCCCAGTGCTTTTACAAGTTTTTCATCATTTTTAGTGTCATCAAAAGCGTTTATTAAGTACATAGTGCTATATTTAAAACATTCATACAGGAGAATGTTGCTCAGTGATTGGCAGGCTAGAGTTCACCTAATAATAAAATACCTTTTTGAATCTTTAGTGACCAGAAAAATGACATGTACTTGAAGAAGCACTGGCACTATGTATCTTTTCTGCCCAGCATTTCTTTCTTTTTATGGTTCTGGGAATTGAACTTAGGGCCTCATACTTGCCAGGCAGGCACTGCGCCACTGAGCTATATCTCCAGCCCCTACCATTTCTTAATGTTAAGTAACTTTCTTAGTTTTCCAGTTTTGAAAGAAATAAATGGACAGCATTTTTTGATCAGTGAACGTAATATACATTATTTTCAAATATGGGATATGTTTTAAGAATACATTTTTCTTTGTAATTGATATAGTAATAGTACATATTTGACATTTCAATTCATGTATGTGCTGTATAATGATCAGACGAAGGTAGCGGCATGCAGCATTCTCAGGCATGCAGCATTTCTTTGCATTGGGAACTTTAAAAGTCCTCTCTGCTATCTCTTGAAATATGCCATTGTTGTCAGCTGTACTTCCCCCCTGCACTATGGAACATTAGTTTTCCTCCCACCCAGCTACTGCTGTGTCTTTATCCACCCTCTCTTAGTCTGTCCTCCCTTCCTGTGGTCTTCTCAGCTCTGGTAACCCCTATGCTGTTCTGTGCTGCTCTGAGATCAGCGTTGGAGATTCCACATCTGAGAACATAACAGTTAGTCATCTTTCTTTGCCCGACGTACTTAACTTAAAGTATTCTGTAATTCCGTCCATGTTGTTGCAAATGACAGAATTTCATGTTTTTTCATGGCCAGTCCCCGCTCCGTTTGTGTGTGTGTGTGTGTTTGTGTGACATTTTTACCCGTTCATTTGATAGGTACCTCGGTTGCCTCTGTATCTTGGCTGCTGTGAACACTGCTGCGATAAGCATGCTAGTGCAGCTCCCTTTTACCTACTGGGTTCAGTTTGTTTGGGTAGAAGGCCTGTGCTGAGAGTGCTGGTTCATGTGGCAGCTCCATGGCTAGTCTTGGAGGAGCTGCCATGCTGTTGTCCATAATGCCTGTACTAACTTCCATTCC